CAAAGTAGCTGAACTTTCTCCTTCTGATGTTCTCTGTTTAACTCTCTCTGTCTCTCTCTCTCTCTCTCTCTGTTTCTTAGTTCCACTCCCACCAGCTATTCCACATCTTGGTGGTCGCGGGGGCTTTCGTTCATTTCCACGGCGTTTCCAACCTGCAGGAGTTTCGCTACACAGTGGGAGCGGGCTGCGCTGAGGACGGCGCTCTCTAACCCGTACACACACACACACACACTCTCGCAAAGGCAGAGACAAATATACACACACACACCCTCGCAATGGCACACACCCATACTGACTCACTCATCCTGTTGCACACATTTTACAGGGAGGCACTGGTTCTGATAATATGCACAGAATTTGAGACACACACACATAAAAACGCTCTCCCCACAGACTGAAAACCCAAGTGGCTTGTCTGGTGTGTGTCAGTGTGCGTAATACACCGGATGGCCTCCCAGTGGATGCTGTTCAAACTGACTGACGAGGGTTTGGTTCTATTTCTGACCCCCCTGTCTTGTCTGTCCACTCCCACCTCCTCTGGCTCTGTCACTTTGAATCTTAAACCACTTCAAAGTTTAAAAAAAACTGTTTCTGAGACTCTACTCTTTCCAAGAAGTGACCCTAAATTTCTCCTGTGTTGAGCTCTGACATTGAAGAGTTGAATGGTTTGATTTTAAAGGATGATTGTGGCTTTAAGAAAAGAAACGAGGGTGTTTTTTTTTTGCTGTTTTTCCAGTCTGAGAACATTCAGTAATAAATAATGAAAAAAGATTATTTGGATTTCTTCATTGACGGTGAAGGTAGCAGAGGGAGAGGTCACTTTTAAAAGTAAAAAAAAAACAAAAAAAAAACAATGTTTTTTTTTCTCCATGTAAATAAGATTTCTAAATTTTGGGTTATAGATTTGTATGAAATATATTGAAAAAAGAACAAAAACATAAAATGATGGCAAGCATAAGTAAATATGTTAGAAGATAAATCAACGAAAGAGGAGGATGACGAGATGTGTTATCTACAATGGCGTCTCGCAGGAGGTGCAGTGATACAGTTAGGCTGTGGTTGGAGGGATGTGCTTCAAACAACTTCATGTCGTCCATTTTTATGCACCCATGAGAGGTGAAGGTGAGGAGGAAAAAATAAGGCACAACATCTTGACCTTATCAAACAAACAGCGACCTTAAGACTCACTCGTATTTAGTCTCTAGTGACTTCCATTGAGTCACTTTGTTGACCTCAATACATCAGCACTGATCTCAAACCAGAACATGCTAACATTTGTGCTTCAAACCAAAAGTCCAGACCTTGTTTCAAAGACACGGGTTTGTTTCTTTCCTTTGACATACCCTCCATTAACTTGTTTGAACACATCAAGAAGAACAGTCATCTTGTTGCTAAAACTGCATCATTGCTGCAGTAAACGATGCAGTTCACTGTGGTCTTCCTCCTCTCTAACACTTTTTAAGATTCAACTCCACACAGAACAACAATACTGTCTAAAAACATGTTTTTCTTTTTTGATTGGCTTGTATTGTATTTTATCCACTGCTATTTCTTTCGATAGTAATATTATAATAGCAAGCTTTAATTTCACTTTTTCTTGTCTATTCGTTCTGGCTATTCTCTGGTTTCCTTTTTTTCGATCATCAAAATAGCAAAACAACAAAGATCTGCTGAAATTGAACACTATGACTTCTTTGAGATGAAAACCTTTGAAGTGTTTCATGGCAATACCAAAATCTCAACCCTGCACAATGGGAAAACCCTTCTGTTCATGAACGGATCATTTGTAATGTACAAGTTTCCATTTGCTGGCAGCTTTTTACCTGATCAGGAAGTTGATCTGCTACAGGAGTGCTCAGCATCTCTTCTTTGCATTTGGGTTGTCTTTTTTTTTTCTTTTCTGTATTTCATTTTCTGTTCATATTTTATCTAATTTATTTCTCTTGGGGAGTGTGTACCGTCTGTTGAAGCACACGTTTTGTTCTGATGGGAGTGTTTGATTGCAATAGACCTTTATATCTGCTGTATTGTTCTAATAAAAAATGTTTTTTGAATCTGAGCTCATTTCTTATTTGTGGTTTATTTACATCACCATCGTGTCTGCCAGTGTCCTGACGCTGTTTCTCTTTCTCTCCAATAGACGGATCATTCCTCTTCATTTCACCAACTTTTGTTTTCACAGCAATAATGCATACAATGCTTGGGAGGTCAACAACAGTGAGTACTGTCAGATGGGAGGTTTCTTACTGTCATTGCAAGATTTTCCCATTTTGGGCCACTGATTTAGATTTGAAGTTTGTCAGCCCTCAGGGGCCTCTTCTGGCCTGGGGCCCAAAGCAGTTGCCTGCCTTGCCTGTTGACCAGCAGCACCTTGGTTTAACTATTTTTCTTAAGGCGGTTGTAACAACACCCCAATCTTGACTTTCTTTTAAAACTTGAGTCTAGAGTAAAATTTTAATTAATATCTTAATGAGTTTTGTCCTTAGTAAAAAATGGTACAAAGAGATGTCAAACAATCATTCTGAATGTATATGTATAAATATTTATCGTAGCCTAATTGTTAAGTGATGGGAAAACCTTTTAAATGCACAATTGCTTGTGGATATGAAAGGTGTCTGAATTCTGTATAGAAAGGAAACACAAGTGGTAATAGAAATAAGTACTTTAATTTGAAAAAGACAACGTCATACAGAGGGGAAATTAAAGACGAACGCTATACACGCAGTCCAAATAAAATGGGCAATAAATCTTGTACACTTTAATCCACTTCATTTGTGTGGAAATGCAAACGTAATCTCTAATTTAAATATCGACAGTAGTAAAGCGCAATTTCCAGAATGATCACGTTATATAACTATCAACCCAAACACTGTAAAGTGCAAATCAAATAATACTAAAAGTAAAACAGGCCAGTGATGACTTTTTTTCTCTGCTATCCATGATTTACTCTTTGTTAAAGCTGTCTTTCCTGGGCTGACCACTGGGTGGCACTGTGAGCTACATTTTATTTAAAGATGCAGATTAGCAGCAGGTGTTGCTCACAGAGGTGGTGGGTGGACCGAAAGAAAAGCGTTGATCCCGAGGAGGGGCTGCACCTCCGAGGTCGTCCATGGGGCTACGAGCTGACATTATTTGCAAAAAAAAAAAAAAAAAACAGCCTTGAAATTACTTTTCACAATCCATGGGATATTTAATCACAGCGCGTTTTGTGTTTGGTTTGTCCGTGTCTTTCGCTCTCACACAGGAAGTGACGATTATTTGGACCAATCCATGATCTGTAGTCTTCTTCTCATCTTGTGGCAACAATAGACAGTAAATATTGTCAACCTTAATATGTAGTCTGTGGTGGCAACTTTCATATTTAGTCTATGGTGTCAATCTCAATACTGTATTTACAGTCTATGGTGGCAACTTGCGCTTTCAAAGGTGCATTACCTGGGACAAATATACACACACACACACCCTCGCAATGGCACACACCCATACTGACTCACTCATCCTGTTGCGCACATTTTACAGGGAGGCACTGGTTCTGATAATATGCACAGAATTTGAGACACACACACATAAAAACGCTCTCCCCACAGACTGAAAACCCAAGTGTCTTGTCTGGTGATTTAGACCCCCTGTCTGTCTGTCTGTCCACTCCCACCTCCTCTGGCTCTGTCACTTTGAATCTTAAACCACTTAAAAGTAAAAAAAAAAACAGTTTCTGAGACTCTACTCTTTCCAAGAAGTGACCCTAAATTTCTCCTGTGTTGAGCTCTGACATTGAAGAGTTGAATGGTTTGATTTTAAAGAATAATTGTGGCTTTAAGAAAAGAATATACCATGCTGGAGTGTGGGCCAGAATACCTATTACTATAGGCTACTATTAGAAAAGGAAAAAACAACCATGATAATGATAACAATACAATCAATTAAATTATCTTCACTAGTCCAGCTTTTCTCTCTGCATTTTATATTGCTGGCAATAATAACACTTGTTTCTACTTTTTTTGATTGTGTCCACAACCACACAAACCTTATTGATTTGTCTATTAAGTGCATTGTTTTATTGTTAAGGACCACTGTGTGTCATAGATCCATAGATTTTAGAGTTGGATTGGTAAGCTTGGAACCCCAACAGAAGGGTAGCACAACAGTAGGACGGTAGGGATCAGTAATTTTGGTACCATTCTCAACTTTTGATAGTGAAAACAGTAATAAATGCATACCATACTGAACTGAACTGAACCACTTGTTGGAAACGGGGCTATACAAAACTGAAAAGATCTCCTAGGCCTACTCAAATGAAACGATTTCATACACACCACTGAAAAGCTCTCATGAACACAACAAAGTAATGTTCTCATACACACACAATATTTGTTTTTCTCTCTTTCACTCAATCTCACTTGTACGAAATCTCCTAGTTGCTGTAATGTTAACGTTACTGATAGATAGATAGATATTTATTGATCCCGAGGGAAATTCAAAGCATCCAGTAGCAGGTTATAAAGACATGACATGAAACATTTGTAACATGCATATATATTAACCCGAAAAAAGATTTAAAGAATACCCCTAGATGAATCAAACTTAAACTGTGCAATTAAAAATAGATTTATACAAGAAATGTACATAACCCGTGCAGGAATAAAAAAAAAAAAATGTGTAGTTTAAAGCAGTTACTCTCTGTGATCAAACTATGAAACTTTCCTTTACAATAAATTCCTAATGTGTGGCTACATCCTTTCGTCTTATGCTGCCTTCAAGGATAGTCAGAAGAAAAGTTAAAAACAAATAAATAAACTGAATTCTTTGTATAACCCTATAAGTCTTGTATCTTACCGATTTAATATAGGCTAATGAAAGTCAAATATTAGCAAAAATAGATTTTTACATTCAGTTTTACCAACTCTCGAACATAGGCCTACTGTGTGTTAAGTTATTTTTTTTACAGTCTATGGTTTTAGTTCTGTAAAGCTAATCATCTCCAGAAATACGAGCCGCACCTGAAGGCAGCGCCTACACAAACCTCGGCTGTCGGACACTGAAAGCAACAAGCTTGACTGGACAGGACGTCGCCCACTGCTGCATTGCTGAGAAATCATTAATTGAGAGCACAGTTCCGGGAATAACAACACAAGAGGTTGACTTTGTCGTGCTAAACGTTGGTCTGGTGAGTAATTTCTCTGTTGTGAGACGAAAACATTACCTTGTGGATGTAGGCAAGATTATTCGGTTAAACTTTTATCCTGCACATCAACGACGCAGGTGGAGTGGCGTTTTTTTTTTTTTTTTTCCAGGATGCTCGAGTGCTTGTTGTTACAAAAATTTGTTACACTGTCTTGAAAAAAAGAGGAAGCCATGAAGTTCGTCTTAAAACCCTTAAGGAGAAACAACTTTGTCGCTGGTTAGCGGAAGCACACCTGCAGTGGTCAAAGTCCAAAACCTTTTTTTTTTTTTTCATTTTCATCCCCAGGAAAAACAGGTGACGTTTCCAGTAAATTCAGGGCAACTACCCAGAACTGGTAACTTCAACAATATTATAAAAAAAATGCCTATTTTGACACTAGAGCACTTAAATAATATGAGGTAGGTAACAGGGCTTAATGTCAGCCAGCAGGTATATTGATAAAGTATCTTTAACAAATGTTGTGTGGTGACTTTTGCCCTGCGCAATGATATTAAATGTCGTTGAAGTGCAGCCAGGTGAGTTAATTATTCATAATTCATAATTGATTAGCATAATTAACTCAACACCTGTGGCCGCCCTCCCAGGATATGGCGGGAAACATAACGGTAGTGTTGTAGTCGAAGTAGTCTGTGCATTTATGGGAGGTCTTGTATGCTATAATATTTTTTGTTTTAATTTATAATGACAGATTCAGTCAACATACTTTATTAATTTAGTCTAGTTTTTTAAATCAGCTTGTCTTTATTCTTAGCCTAATAAGAAGTTAGTTATTTCTCGGACTTACCTGTGTTTGGATACTGTTTTTAGCTTTCATGGTCTGTGATAGTGTTGGGTCAAATGGACTGGAAGAATCATATCTCGATATTATTATTTTTTTTAGCTGAATGTTGATACATGATGTATATCTATTTTTTTTCTGTAAATAATTAACTAAAACATAGTTCAGTTCTAAGTCAAATCCACATGGGTCAAACAAATGTCACACAGCCAATTTTATTAACAGCCAGCTGCACAATGTCAACATGTTACTACCCCCCCATTGTGAAATCATAAAGCACATAGCTGTGTTCATTATTATGCAGCCGGTCTGTTGAAGGAGGGTGAAGGGCGAGGCAGGGTGAAGAGGGACAAGAGGGCGAGAGGAGAAAGTAAACAATAATGTCTTACCTATCTATCGCTTTAAAACTCAATATATTTTACAGCCCTAGTCTAGGGGCATGCGTGAGGATAGCATCAGATTTATACTCCTATAAAACTATTACAATACTTTTTTTTTTTTTTTTTTTTTTTTAAATAAAATGTTTAAGTGTTCACAGAATCAGAAGGACCTTGAAAAATATCAAAAGCAAAGTGTCTCCTAGAAACAACATACTTTCATAATCAACAGAAAGCCTCTAACAGTATAATTTAATCTACATTAGGGCACAAGGCTGCGTCTGCTCTGAGGATGTCAAAATTAGATTTGCAATGATTAACCAAAATCACGACTACAAACTTACTGGACAGTTTTTATGAAGGGCTCAGCTCTTCTTGGATAGAAGAATGGGTCTCCAATAGGAAAATAAAGAATGGGAACCCCTGCACTAAAGGATACTGTACAGATCAATTGTAGGAGTCTAAGTGCTTCTCAGCCCATGGCTTTTATTTAAAGAACTGGAACTGTGATTAATCATTCAAAGGTTTATGGTGTGTTCAGTTCATATGAATAATTGAAGCCTGTGGTTAATAGGTATTATAAGAGGAGATGATATTGTAATGTTGGATTCTGCCTCAGTGTCAGATTCAAGGTTTTTTCTTACTCTCAGGCCTTTAGGGACAGTCACTTGATACTACAGTGTGATCAGCTGGGAGTTACGAGCTGTCAGGAGAAATACAATGTTGAGAACAATATAGGAGTGAGGCAATTTTGAAACATAATCGACCTGCGTGCAAAAATGCTCCAAAGGGGCGACGTGATGTTGCTGCTTAGATGTGTCTTCTGTTGCAACATTTGATAGCCAGCTTTTATGTCTTGTGCAAACACAAACGCTCTGACAACCCTCACCTGCAGTGGCACACAGTTCAGACAGAGCTGTCAACTGACAATAAGCTGAGCGTTGATACAAGAGGGTTTGTGATGCCTAACTAATTTGGACCCGGTTCAGTTACCTGTCAGCGATACTGAGTGCAATTTCTTTTCAATTTTAGTTTGCTTGTCCTCATATCAAGACTTGAACTTGGGTTGCTGGAGCAAACCTTGAGTGTAAGCAAGAGGAAACTATCTCAGTTTTTCTCTGACCCTATTTACGGTGTTTTATATGCAATATAAACTCAGAGTATGCGCCAGTTTTTTGTCACCTGATATATGTCTGTAGAAACAATACATTTCTTTTTGCTGTTGTGTTAATGTGAACACTTAAGCATGCAGTCCATATTGTATGATGTCATTTGTTTGACTTTCCATCATCCTCTTCTTACTTGAGAAATCCTCTGTACTTTCAGAGCTGAATTGGAGGAAGGAAGATGACGGCGGGGTATAAAGATGACAAGGAGGACTGGCAGGCCGTGTGTCTCAAGTACCTGCTCTTTGTATTCAACTTTCTCTTCTGGGTAAGTGAGAGCTGTTAATGTTCTCCTTTTAGTAATTGCCCTCATGAAAACCGACCAGAAAGGACCAGGACAAAGGATACACTTCATCATCTGTCACCAATCGTCAGTGATACTCACGCAGTATTAAAAAGGCTTTGCATTTACCCTTTTATGGTACCATATGAATTGTAGATCTCACAATGACTTTAGGTATAAATAAGATATGTTTTTGTTTAGTCTAGAGATAAAAAAGTGAATTGGTAATCATAACTCTTTCATAAATGATACAGTTACAAGTAAGACACAGTAAATGATTAATGTTCCTTTAACGCTGCCGGCACAGAGACAGAGGATGGAGACAAGCAGAAAAAGAGGGCGAGAGAGAGAGAGAGAGAGTTTTGATTTTGAAAACCGTGGCTCAGCTGTGGACTCGGCCCAAAGTGAGTCGTAAATTATCCGGGGCTTGTCAGTGGAAGATGGCAGCGCACTTTATGATACTGCAGTATATGGCCTAAAGTGTATGCTGTGAAAGCTGCTGAGCAGATTGTCTTGGCTCACTTTTGGGGTTCAAAAGGGTTCAAGCTTTATAATCAGACTTGGGTTAATAATCTGTCACCACCTAACTCCTCCTTAGACTACTGACTCTCCTCAGCATTTCTCAAGTCTTCTATTTTTATCCTCTACTGCACCATGATAATGGAACACTATACAAAGCATTTTTACCCAAATATCAAATCAACCTACTGGTACTTTGATACCGATTCAGCAGAGGGATTTTAAGAAATGTGTATTCTTAAGTAGTCCTAACTATGCTCTAGTTTTAGAATAGTCCTCTCTCCCAGGCCCTGTGTGTGTCTAAGTGCTTCCCCCCTTGCCTGGCATGTGTTGTTGTGATTATGTGGATCTTGCTTTTGACGGAAATGGAATGGGAGGATGAAGGGTTGACGCTCTCCGAGGCATTTCCTGTCCGTCCGCCTGATGAGAGGAACACATCTGGAAACCACCCTGTGTCTGTTATCCCGGTCTGTTTGTAAGGAAGTGGTCATTATGCCCCGACTTGACCTCTGATGTCCCGAGTGCCTGGCCACTTTCCCCTGCGTTTCTGTCTTGGTGCTATCTTCACTTTGTACCAAATCTTATTCCCACATTTCTCATGTTCTTTCTTTTTTTTGTCTTATCTAAAAGCATTGAACTTGCTTGCCACTTCCTGCCTAGTAAATAGCTTTTTTGCAGTTTCTCTTTTTCTACCTCTGTACAGGTAGTCTGATTTCTCTCTTAACCCCCCCCCCCCCCCTCCCTCCTCTCTCCTTCTCTTCCAGATGGGTGGAGCAGCTGTCTTAGGTGTTGGAGTCTGGACACTGGTGGAGAAAAGTGACTACTTGAGTCTGCTGGCATCCAGCACTTTTGCTGTCTCAGCGTATATCCTCATCCTGGCTGGAAGCTTGGTGGTGGTTACAGGCTTTCTGGGCTGTTGTGCTGTCATCCGGGAGCAGAAGAGCTGTCTGTCCACGGTGAGACAGGGGACTCAGGGGAGGGAGTTTCTAATGAGGTACCGGCCTAAAGGTTATTCCAGATACAGAAATTTTTCACAATAATCTCAAGCATGCTAACATTACAAGATATAAAAAATCTTGGCAAATCACGTACTACAGGAGTTTACTGAGATTAGTTTTTGTGAGGGGGTGCGGAGGAATGCACCACCTCATGTGACCTCATAAAAACAATGGAGCTGAGTTAAATATTGTTGTGTGTTCTTCAGAGGGAGCTGGAGGTAAGATTGTAAGTGTCAGATGCATTTTTACAGTTGTCCACCACTACTGTCCACTTAATGTCTCTCACACTTATTGTAGTCACACACAAATGTGGAACCCCTGCATTCTCTGCCTGGTCTAAAGTCTATCACCTGATGCTGACAAATGACTGTGACTGGACCCTCGGTGTCCTCATTATTTCACAGAGCCGAGGCCCAGTGGGAGAAAAGCAAGCAGGAGGTGAATGTTCACGGCTGCACGACTATTTTAAGCCCATCCTTCTGTGGTTGATGGAATGAGAAAAAGTAGAGAAGAATGGCCTTTTAGAGGTGACGAGGTAGATGTGTTAACAATTTGATGTGGTGCATTTTGGTTGATTACTGCCATTTATAGATCTGTTATCAGGGATTACACTTGATGCTAGCATGAGAGAGTGAGTTTTCTTTTAAGGATTGTGTAGTTAGCACTTTGTGTGGGCACAAACAAGGTATGGAGTGTTTTTAACCAATAAACTTGTAACTAAGAGAAACAGAGCTGACTGGTGTTTGTCTGTGACACAATTAATGTAAAAACTACAAAACAATGGAAACATTTGATTAGATTACCACTCTGTTAATACATTAACACAACTGCATTTAAGTACATACAATAGTGCTTATCATAATACCGTTGTTAACTGTTCTTTGACGATGATGTTTTTTCTTTTTGAATGGTAGCTTTAGTGGATGATGTCTGATTCATGGAATTCTTTGTTTTCCTGAGGAGTACAAATGAATGTTCCTCCTCCTGTGGTGGTTGTATTATTTTTCGATGGTCTGCTTTCTGCATTTGATGTGACAGCTGATGTTTTATTGAGTCATCAAGAGAGTGAGCTACTTTCTCAAATTTGTGACCAAAATACTTCTCTTAATGCTTCTCTGTCTTCTTTGTAATCCTCAGTACTTCCTCTGTCTGTTGCTGATCTTCCTGATTGAACTGGTTGCCGGAGTATTGGCTTACGTCTATTACCAAAAGGTAAGTAACTTATTATTGTGTACTTAATAATAATTAAGTTAATTTACTGTCCGTTAGACCTCTCCTGTGCTCCATCAAACTGCACTGAAAGAGAAGGCAATGAGAGTTTTGTGAATAGAACGTGTTAATTACTGTTAGAGTGTAGTGTTACATATTGTGTTGGGCCTCTGGGTGTGTGTTGATATTTGATGACTGAGGTCTAAAACTACAGAGGTGCTCTGCAGGAACACTGACTTGTGGGTATCATTATGTATATGTTAGATATGATATGTACCTACTAATGGATCAAAATGGATACCCACAGCTATTTGCTGCGTTGTTTTGACATCTGCTACCACCTAGAGATTTTGTTTTTTCTTCCAAATTTGCCCTTTTTCCTGGGTTCAAAGTTTTTCAGGTGGTCTCTATTCCTTATAATTTGATAAAGATAATGATGAACCACTGGAGATTTTACAAATCTTGAGCTCTTTTTTTGTGTTGTTTTTCCTTTTTTATATATGAATGTGAGTTGTCAGTTTTCACCTCCTTCACTGCACGCAGTGTTCTGTTTCTTGAGTTTAACTTACACACTGTTCTTAAGATCCTGTTATCACACAAACATCAGTCAGCTAGGACTGCAAAGAGCAACAAGCTATCTGCAGCAAGCTGAGGTTTACTGAAATGGAAGATGGTTCAGCACAGGATAGAATCACTTTAAAGATAAGGGCTCTCATCCTCCATCTCTATTCTGTCTCTAGCATGTGTGTGTGTGTGTGTGCACCAACATATACACACAACAAACACTATATCTTCAGTCTATTTTTTGCAATGTGCTGTTCATCCGTCTGTTACTGATGCGTGGGAGTTGCTATCTGTCTATCTTGCCCTAATCCTCCCACTTTCTCACTTCTGCCAAGCCTTATCCTTTTTAACTCTCTTACCTTTATAGTCATTGCTTTCTAACAGAGTGTGTCTGCTTTCTCTCTCTGAATTTCCAGCTGAGTGAAGAGCTGAAGCACCATCTCAACCAGACTATGACTGAGAACTACGCCCAGCCAGGGAAGGGGGACATCACTTTAGCAGTGGACAAACTACAACAAGACGTATGGATTTATTTACTAAAGCTTTGAGGTTTTGTTTGATTTAGATCAAGTGCTGCATTTTTCTCCAGTGTGGCCAGAATTAGTCATATTGGCTATACAGTGATTTTCCATGACTTAGGCTTAAAAACCCCATCTGAAGAAGTTTTATTGTGATGAAATTTAGTAAGAGGAATCTCTTATAACTCAGTGCTCTCCGTTGATGTTTCCTCTAAGTGTTCTTGATAAATAATGAAATATCCTGAGCTCAAGAGAGAAAGTAATGCCACTCCCTCCAGTTTCAAATATACTAAAAGTTTACAGAATATTGATTTGTTGAAGTCGCTCCAGCCAAACTAATGAATGTGATTTAACTTCAGATACTGGCTGCTTTGTTAGCAAAGGCAGAAGGTGTTGTCATTTGCTAACTGGTTGTGACATATCAAAACCAAACCCTTCACTATACTCCTTTTTTCATCTCCAGTTCAAGTGCTGTGGCAGCAACAACTCCCGTGATTGGTTGATGAGTGTTTACATATCATCAAAGCCGGCAGAGAGCAGGGTGGTGCCTGACAGCTGTTGTAAAACCATCATCCCTCTGTGTGGCAAGAGAGACCACCCCTCCAACATCTACAAGGTCGAGGTCAGTGGACTACACACTTCTGGAAAATGGATTTGCATTAAATAAAAACCCCATTTACATTTAAGTTTTCCTGCTATTTTGCCACAGGGATTCAAAAAAGTGACCGTAGCAGAGAAATCCTGCAGTTTGAGACTTCTTTTTCTGATTAAATGAGCTCACTTCACATGAATTAAACATGATGTTTTTAGCCGTGCTGTTTTGGTGAACTTTTCAACTTTTATGTGTCTAAGCCTTCAGCTCCCTCTAACTGCTCACCATGTACAAAGGTTTGACTGTGAACATACTCTCTCAAAAGAACCAAAAATGTACATTACAACACATAAAGGATGATAACATCCATGATGTTTATTTTAAATGAAGACAAAAGACAAGTTAGTTTTTGTTGGTATTATATGGGAGCATACAATCCTCAATAAACCTGCATCTGTCTGCACAATGTTGTCTTGTCTTCTGCAATAATTAGGAATCTGTACAATGTGTTGTCTTTCATCAACTTTAAGTGAAGCTGTTTGCTCTGCAGGGAGGATGCATCACCAAGCTGGAGCAGTTTCTGGCCGACCACCTGCTGATCATTGGTGCTGTGGGAATAGGCGTGGCTTGTCTGCAGGTAGGTAAAAAAACACCACACAGGGGTTTTGACAGAGTAGAACATTATTCAAAACTGTGCTCTATATAAGTCCAGCAACACAGAAAAATGAGATAATGCTTTTTACCTTTGGGAGTGAAATGCTGCCTGCCTTGAATAATACCTTACAAAAGCAGATGGGTTTTTATATTACTCAAAATGTTCCGCCAAAGGTCAACAACCTCTACATGGGCATGTCTATTCAACTTGCCCTAGTCTCTTAATCATTGTAATCCAATTTTTGTCAACCCTGTTATTAGATTTGTCCCGGTCTAAGAGTGACTTGAGCTTTTAAGCCTCACTGAGACGAGGAGGATGCCTTTTTTTTCCCACAATTCATCTTTCAGCTTTACATCAAATCTTTGTAAATCAACTCGAGGGAAACCTGAGACCAAACCTACATCGTTTATCCCCAGTGATCTACAAAAGACTCATTTGCTCTTTTAATACACACCATATTACATACTGTTCAGGTGAAACAGCTTTCATCAGGCACCAGGGAGCTGAAAACAAGTACACTTTAATTTCACAATAAGACCAGACACCCTGCCGAAGTAAGGCCAGAAGGTGTGCACTGCAATGATTTAATGCTTGCAACCTCTGTGAGCCTGTTCAGTGTGTTAACTCTTTTCCAATCTAATCAAATGTAGTCTGTATGTCTCGTACTTGTCAACTGTTCAGCGTATCCTAATGTCAACGTTCTGTTTGTCATAGCTATAAAGTTGGCTTAATTGACATGGTTTGAATTAATTCCAATCAGACTAGCTGTAGTTTTCATCTTTGATTACAGAATAAACCCCACATATGTCTTGTTTACTTCACTAATCTGTCTGTGGAGAATTGTATTGTTTGTCTTTATGTCCTCGTGCTGTGTGTCACTGTAGCTGGCTGGGGCAGTACTGACCGCCTGCTTTATCTATCTGCTCTATAAAGAAGAGGAGGAGGACCTCGGTACATTGTGATTAAGCTCTAGAGCACCTTTTTGGTTCAATCAAGTGGCGAGACGAGGTTTGAGGGCATTGTGGACATTTGACATCTGCATGTTTGTCCTTGTGTGGCCGTCTGCTCTGTGTCAAATGCTAAATCTACGCTTCAAGTGTTTTTCAACGAAGCATGCAGCTGCCTTTCTTTGGTTTATATTGTTGCTCCGCTTGTTGTGATAATGGGCTGTTCTGGCTGATAAGCATGTGATAAAGGTCAGACATCATGAGAATAGCTTGATTAGGCAGGACTTGACTTCTACAGCACTACAATACCTTTTCTACAGCATTGACCGTCAAGTACCTGCGTGCACAAGGATAAAGAAACAAAAGCACATAATGAAGTATGTGTTCACAGTATAGAACGAGCTGTCAGTGGTGGTGGAGAGTGGAGGGCTGAAAGAAAATCAAAAAGAGTCTATAAATAATGCTGACCTGCACTGTAAGGCTTTCACTGAGGGCTTTAAGAGACTGGGCGTTTGCCTGTGTATCCATCAAACCAGGCAGGCCCAGCAGCTTATATCACACTGTTTCTTCTGCTCTTAATTTATTTTAGACCTGTTCCATAAAAGTGTGCAGGATTGGGCTATTGGGATTTTTTTTAGGTTTGGCATACATTATCGTGTTCACACTGGTTGCAAAACAAGACTGCATAGATAATGCGCAAAGATAATTCTACTGGTGTAGATAAAGACAAGTTGAAAGCACGTCTCAGATGTAATTAATTTGATTGATATAATGTTTTAACACCTAAATGGTACATAAACCTTTCTGACTTTAAATTGATAACACTTGTCATTACAGCAACACTGTATTTGAAAGAGACATTGACGAGTACTTACTTTATAGAGGTAAAGCTACAAAATGATTTTACAAATACAGTTTGTGGCATGCACCTATAGGTCAGTAGCTCATGTGTATCTGCTGTGTCTCGTCAATTTAATGCTGGATATCTAACTGCTTATTCAAAGAAGAGTTTTTTTATTGGGCAGAAGAAGTCACCTGTTGGACAAACAGTGTGAGAGTATTAAACCGTCTCTGAGAAAGATCAGCGATACACGGTTTTAAGACATGTTCCAGTGACATTTTAGAAAGCTATCAGAATCAACAGTCTGCTAAGTTGTTATTTTAAATATCCGTTTGGTATCAGCTCTAGTTTTCATATGCAGTGCAGCTCTAAGAAAGATGATTATCTGTGCATAAATCTTCTTTCTGACCCCACACCCAGCGCTTCATTTTGCCAGTGTACACTCCTGTTGCTGCAATCAAGGCTGCTTGACTCCTGACATGCACGCAGTAACCAATGACTACTACTCCTCCCTAACCCCCTCACCTTTAACCCCTCTCTATCCCCCCACACTCAATGGCTTCCTGCAGACTTCCATGGTGACTGAGCAACTATTTGACCTAACACGTCCTGTTTTCAGATCTGTGGCATGGTGTTCACCAGCTGCTTGTACAGAAGGATCAAGACGGACCCTTACTGAGCACACCAGACATCCCCGACACACCAACTACGACAGGCAGACGGACCAATGACCTGCTGACATCTTCAATTCAACCTTCTGGATCTTGAGCTCTGATCTGGTGACCAGAGTGGAGTGCACATAAAAGGGTCTATTTTAAACAGAAACATGATGCGTTATTGACCAACAGGCTAATTTTCTACCTTCCACTTGTACAGTATTGACACCTGACTGTTGCTTTGGTCAAGATGCATGCCTTATTTTTTTACCCAGACAAAGAAAGGATAATGCATACTCACAATGCATTCTACTTTTTTCACTTAATGAAGGTCTAGATTGACTCATCATGTTTTCATTGTTTAGACTTACCTTTGATTTTTTGGGGGGCTATACCACTACTAAAGTAAGACAAGGTGTTCACTAGTGTAACTGCTTTAGAGAAAATAATTTATGGATGTAACTTTAGTGAACATGATGTGCCTCTGCCACTGTTTTTTCTGGTAAATAACTGTATTAATTCTTTGACTGAAATCCTTCAAAGGAAAGTGACAATGTACTGCGGCCATTTGCAACATATAACACCAAAATGTATATTTGTAGTTTTATGTACATTTCTTAATATAAGAGCGGTAAATGGTAAACATATGATAGTTATCTTAAAGTTAACTCCATGGTTACAGTCAAATGTAAGGCTACAACCTTTTAATATGATCATCTGATATGTTAAGTAATTTGCTCTAACTTTCCCTGGAATGACAACTCCCCCTAGTGGTCAGCACTGGTCATATCATTTCCTATGACTTGTAAACAACACTGTGATAAACTCGGTTCTGGTATCCTATACTATAGGATTTTAAACGTTGTCAAAAATCAGCTATATATGTTAATTTGCGTTGTACACCACTCAGCCATGACATAAAGACCAGCCATGTAATCATGTGACGATACCTTACATGAGGTGAACGAAATATGATCACCTTTCATGTAATGCACTCCAGTACACCACCACCAACACAAACTACGACTTCAGTGATAAATGTAATCAAAGTATGAGCATTGTCCCGTCTATTTCAGCAATAACTGAAATGCAACAACAATTTGAGAAGCACCAATCTAAACTCTAATTTTTAAACCCTGTTTCTTAAGATTTACGTATAATTACCTTATACCTGTACTACTGTAAGCTGAGTGAGGGTAATGTGTAAACGGCTGTCACTTGATAAAGACTGGTGAATGATTTATTTTATAATTTGTGAACACAATGTGCCTTTTTTAATTGTTACCATGTTAATACTAATTTTCTGTATTATTTCTGTGCCCTTAATCTTTAAAAAAACAAAAGAAGCTGACCATGTACTGGGAACACTATGGTATTTGAAACATATTGAATACATACATTGATGATGTTTGTATAGTAATGTATGTACTGTGTTATCTGACTGCAGAACTATAGATTGTAATGTAATAAACTGGAACACATTCACATGTGCTTTTATCAGCTGAAGTAGGACACCACTAGAGGGAGACATTTTCCATTTCCATTTCCATTTACAGAGGTACACTCTGCAGTTCATTGTGTTGAATAATCCTGACCTATTGATGCTGCCCCAAGCTTATACTTGTACTATACAATTTTTGCTCCAAAAAGTTGTTCTCTCTAGTCTCAGTGTTACAGCAAAAGTTTCATGTAAATCTTTTTAAAAATCAGTCTCTTTGTTTTTCCTGTTTTTTTGCGGTTGTGTACGCATTAAGAATTAACATCCTCCAATAAATCAGATACATGTTGGGTGAGATCTGTGGGTGAAATTGGTCTCTTTTATAATGAAGTACGGGGACTTCAGTTGGGGGAATTGTGAAACCACTTCCGTGTGGGGTCTTTCACAATTTCCACATTGGAAAAAACTTGTACAGTTCCCAGCTTCAACGGCCTTTATTCATGATGCAGCAAAAGTGTCGTTGAGGCAGAGTCTCCATACATCAAATACCACGCTGTGCACAGAGATTGTTTGTGCTTTATTGTTGCCATATGACCAAACTATTTATCTTTGAAGCAATATTCTTCCCCTCTTCTTTGTTTCCCAGACTTCTTACAAGATACTGTCGGTTCACAGCAATTTATCATTGTCACCCATTTAGGGAAAAGGGCACAAAGTTTCAAAGGAGTCTGGATATTCTCCAACATTTTGGCTGCAGCGAGCCTATAGAGTCTGTCAGTCCCTTTGTCATCATCAGCTATAGGCGGATGGCTCTCATTTCCTACAGATGTCACACATACGACAACACCGAAAAGGGGCACACTGATTTTGACAAGATAGAAACACACACACACACACACAACTCTGAGGTTGTGCACATTAGCATGCGGTTTGCACCCTTTGCCAGAAGAAACCCACGATGGGAGAATTAGGAGCAGCTGGAGATTCACTACTCCCATGTGTTGAGGCCTCTTTGCGTCACATACACACTACCTACACCCTCCATCCTCATCACATTGTAGCCGTAGGGGCGATGTTTCACTGGGACAGCTTCAGAAGTTGCCAACGAACACATGTTGCAATATTTTATATCAATCCACCGTGTTTGCATGTGCAGAGATAACGTTTAATACCTGCAGACTTAGAAAAATGGATTACACAAAGCATTCCAGGGCCGAATAAAAACAAAACGAGCCGAAACCTAAATACTAAACAAATGTATTTAATTCTGCACAGGTCTGTGTTTTGTCCCCTTGCATGTCAGCATGCAATCACAAACTTGAGATCTGGCTTTTTTTTTGTGTGTCTATAAGGCATTTGTTGAATTCTCATAAAGACTTTTTCTGGCATCTCTAGCTATTGTCTCAGTGCATGCACCTGTGTTTAATATGTGCAGGAACTGAAAAGGCCTCAGTCGTGGTGATTGAATAGTGCATAGCCTAAAGCATAATGGCTGTGTGGGAAAAGGCTTGTGTAACATGTTTTGGCCTGAATGTAACACGCCTGAAGGTGGTTCCTTGTGAGTATTAAACTGCATTGAGATCAGGAAGACGGTGTAATCAGTGTAATCACGGTTGGGCCTTTGTGACTAATCCATGTAATATACAGACTAAATAATGTAAATACTTTGTAGCAGTAAAGGGGATGATCTTGACGTCAAACGTGGGCAAGATTACAAAAACAAATCAGTTAAATGACATCTTAGCTGAATATGAACTAGCCTTCACTCTAACACTATGAAACAGAGTACACTGTGTAGTAGCTCTGTGTTAATCAGAATCATTAGTGACTATTTCTTATAAAACATGTAAAACTCAAATACCCTGAGTTTAAATCTGGTCTAAATCTATGCTACCTTGCACCCTCAGCATCTTTACTCCTGGCCTGCAACACATTAGCTGTGGCCGTAAATGTGTTTGACAGATTTCTACAAGGAACAAAGGCGTAGGGAAGGAGATGGCGTGTCTAGATAACTTTAAGACTGGACGTCAAAGCTTAGCAGCCTGCAGAGCAGCACGCCAACAAAAATCCAAGCCTAATATCTGTCCTTTTATTAAGTAAAGAATACTTACATTTGGCATTCAGAAATGAGTGTAGGTTCCAATATAGATAAACACTATTCCCAGGAATTTACATTTGTTCATATTTTATTTCTTATTTGTCTACCTCTTCTAAAGTATTTGATGTATTTTGTGACCCTTCATGTTTAATTTGGCTCTTTTGACAGTCTTATTTCCCTCTCTAACCGTCCTTCTGTGCAGTTGCATAATGCTGAAAACTTTTCAAAAGTTCATAATGCAATAAATCAAAAGGACATTCTTTAAGCCTCATTGGAAATACAAAGTTAACATGTCTTAGAGTTAGTTAGGGTTGTGGTAGTTGATCTTTTTGATGTGGTTTTGTGGAGATTGAAGGTTTATTAGCATTGGTCTCTAAACCTTGGGAAACTGAACCTGATGTTGAAAGATAAATCTTACGACTAGTGAGGGAAAAAAACTTAATTACAACAAAAAGACATTGCTGGTGACTTATTGTGAATAACACTTATCCTTTATAAAATCAAAACAGATGAGATATCAACCCCCCCTCCCCCCCCTCCCCTGTCTTTAGGATAACAACTACATAGAGATGCTAACATGCTAAATGATGCCAACAAACATGGTAAACAATATTCTTTCTAATTCAAAACGTAAGCATTTCCACTTCCTGCATTTTACATGCCGACATTCACTTTCAGAACATATTGTACTTAATTCTTAACATAATTTTATAATATAAAAAACATCCCACTGATTTAAAATGAGGGCTATAAATGCATCCTCAAGACGTTTCTTTTCTTGCCTCTCTGTACCTCCAGAGTTGAGGAGATTGCGGTTTCTGAGCTATGTGTATGTGTATTTCACAGTGTGTGTGGGAAGGTCTTTGTCCATGGGAGAATGAGTTTAGATGGAAACAAACTTCAGAAAGTGTTTCAAGACGGCATTTCAAAAGCCTGCTGTCCGATAATGATGATGAGCGCTGTGTTGATGAGGCTGTTGATTGATACCAAACAGATGGTGGGGCGTGATGCATTACACCTCCAGAGTAGATACCATAGTGATACCTGGTGAAACCGAAATGAAATGGGAAACACAGAAATGGGAGAATGATGCTTCAGTGAGAGTGATGTCCTCCATTGTGTGCCTGACAAGCGTCTACCACTTTGGTAAATTCTGACAGTTAAATTAGCATGCTTACTTAATCTCCGTTTGTGTAGCAGTGTGTTTGTCCTTTGTGCTGGATAGATTATGATCTGCGGTGCGCGATCAGACTTGCTTACATTACTCTTGTCCTCGTTTTCCCAGCGTGAGTCAAAGAGAAGTGTCTGTTGGGTCGAAAGAATGTGTTTCATAGTGATTCATGTGGTGTTGCTTATATGTGGTAAAGTGGGCCAACAAGGCTATGGAGTTTCATGCGTCGAATGTGTCAGGAGCTCTGGACTTTAACATGACTTCTCTGGTGTCGTTACACTGTAATTTATACTGGCTGAATGGTGTTTCCGTTTAAAGCGACGGTTGGAGTCTGTAAACTTTTACAAGCTGTCTGTCTCTACACCCCGTGGATTGTTGTGGCAGTTGGTTTGCGTCCACAAAGAACAACTACTCAGCTTTGTAGTGTTTTTGTGTTTAAAAAAAAAACCTCAAACTAAAAAAAAGAAGACCGAATGAACTGCGACACATGTCTGCAAAAATACAATTTAAAGCGCCTGCGAGGAGTTATGAAACAGACTGGAACAAATACCGACGCATCTATCTGACCTGCAAAAAGGAAACAAGACCATCACCAACTAGATTGATTATTTCTATATCGTTATTTTATTTTTGGGCTTTTTTTTGCCTTTATTTGAGAGATAGGACAGTGGATAGAGTTGGAAAATCAGGGAGACAGAGAGTGGGGATTGACATGCAGGAAAGGAGCCACAGGTTGGATTTGAACCTGGGCCGCTGGCTTGGAAGACTACAGCTTCCATACATGGGGCGCGCGCACTAACCACTGCTCCACCAGCACCACCAGTGCCCCTCTATATAGTTATTTTTAATGCCTGTAAACAGCTGCTAATGGGTAGGTGTCACATGTGGCGATTGTCGCAACAGACACATTTTTTTTACAACACAGATTCAAAGCAAGTGAGAAAATTGACAGTTAAAAGAAAGTTTAAGACAAGGACAAGATCAGCAAAGAGATACGATGTACCATTTTGTCCACAGGGGGCGCCAAAACCAACACAAACTGAAAGTTCTCCACAGGCGCTTTAATACGAAACAGCAGTTTTCTGTAGTTTTTGAAGGTTGTTTGTGAATAGGACTGATGCACTTGTGTGGGATTGTGTTTCTGTGTGAAATGTTCACATGTATTAATAATATCCACCTTTCCTGTCACAAACACAAACATGACAGATTTTTCAAAACACAAAGCAGCTTAAAGACGAAGCTTTGAGCTGGAGAGGATAAGACTTGTATAAAAAACAAATGAGTCTGTCAACCAGTGTTTATTTATTCTCCATGATGAATAGAAGAGGATAGAGCGGATGTCATATTTGGAGATAATGTATCATGCAAAAAAAAAAAAAAAAGGGGGTGGGGGCACAGGAACAGAATAGCATGAGAGGAAGTTTTCCCCTTTGAGATTGATGGCATGGACGAGAGCATGGGAGTGACCTTGACCTGACCGTGAGAGTGAAGAGGATGGTTTGTAATCAGGCTGTCGAGTGCCCTTTAGGAAGTAAACACTTAAACATGCAGCGCTGTGCCATTACTGCTCACGGCCTTGACAGAGGAGGCAGTGAAGGCAGATGGCAAATTGGTTGAAAGGGAGGAGAAGGATGTTTGAAAATGCACAAAATGCATCAGAATATTTAGACTAAATGAGCACAGGCATCAAACTGTGATGCACAGGCTGTTTCAGGAAGCAGGCTCATTTGTTGAATGGTGTTTTTGCAAAACTGCAGGCAGCCTGTAAAACCATTTCCCAAAGATTCCTGCGTAGATGATCGACTTTATTGTATACAGCACTTTAAAACTTTACTTTTCTACTGAGAAAGCACTTTTTTGGTTTGGTCTCTTTTTTTAAACTCGTCTTTGTAAAGGAAAAGTTTGCTGGATCTCTCTTGACCCTTGAAAGTTTAGTCTGGGGATAGAGATATACTGTATAATAATACTGAATACCTCACTTAGAAATACTCTGCACATATACTCGACCTATTGTTCATATTCTTGTTTATGTCTTATAAGAGCAACTGTGTGTGATCATACTTTCTCCTTTGGGATGAAAGAAGTA